TCTCTCTCTCTCTCTCTCTCTCTCTCTCTCTCTCTCTCTCTCTCTCTGTGTGAAAACCACAACAGCAACCTTCAGAGCTCAGTCAAACCGGACACACTGTGCCTTCACCTCCAGAGAGGCCGACCCACTCCTACACAGCACAGAAGAAGAGGACTTGACAAAGGACACAACAGTGACCTCCAGCAGTTAGACCGCACCCGATCCCACATCCTTCAAAGAAAGGGGAACCTGACTCTGAGTCAGGACAGGAAAAAGGAGCGATCGTACCCCACCGCTGAAACTCGACCCACCGGACAGAGCGACAGAGGGGGCTGACGGACGTTTCTCTGACAACCGGGGATAAAGAGGCGAGATGCTGGCTAAAATCCTTGAGGACATGTGGGTGGACCCTGAGGTGCTGGAGGCCCTCGGTGAGGAGCAGAAGAGGATCCTCTTCTTGAAGATGAGAGAGGAGCAGATACGCCGCTGGACAGAGCGCGAGGAGAGGGAGGAGAGGGAAGGGAAAGATGGCAGCAACAGGCCAAAGAAAGGTAGAGTGCAACACTGGTGTCATTCTGCTGGTTACACTGAAGTACATGGAGATCACGTACATCTTATTCCATGACAGTGTGACAAAACTCTGACAGGAGATCAAAGCTGCTGGCTTCTCTTACATGGTCTCATTTCTTTACAGTAAAATAGGTCTCACAACTAATTTGGCAGCGCTGAACTGTCAAAATGATGATTTTAATAATAATGATTATCTGTACCTCGAATCAGACATTTATTCAACATACAAATATTTCAGATAATACGTGAAATTGGTCACCTTCAAGGCAATTGTTGGGAAACATGCTTCTTTGATTTTTTTGCAGAGATTTAGATCGTAAGATTAAGCGGGATAGCTTAGCTTTAGCATAAAGACTGAAAACAGCTAACTAGCTTAGCTCTGTTTGAGGGTAACCAGCACCTCTAAAGCTCACTAATTAATATGATTTTATTATTTAGTGTAAAAACAATAAGTTGCTGTTTTTTATTTGCAAGGCATATTTTTCTTGGGTGGGCGCTGACTTCCTGGAGTCTCTGTGACAAAGCCAGACTAGCTTTTTCCCCGTTTCCAGTCTTTTTGCTAAGCTAAGCTAAGCAGCTGCTGGCTGTAGCTTCATATTTAATGGACAAATATTTCCCAAAATGTTGAACTTGAATCTGTTTTTTTCCGCCTTCTAAATATGTCAAGTATCAGGGCTGTAGCTGCCATTGATAGTATATGAAACAGCATTATCAGACTTCCAGGAAATATAATTTAAAGGAACAGTGTGTGGGATATAGTGCCATCTAGAGGTTAGGTGCGAGAATGCAGCCAACTGAATACCCCTCTGCTCACTCCGACCTTTCCAAGCGTGTCGGAGAACTATGGAGGCCTTCAGGTAACGTGAAAATGCAAAAGGCTCTCTCTAGAACCAGTGTTTGGTTTGTCCGTTCTGGGCTACTGTAGAACATGGCAGACATTGTTTCAGGTGATAATACATTAACGAAAACACATTCATGAATATTATATTCCTGAACCCTACACACTGGTCCTTTAAAGGTGAAATAAAGTAATTAAAATTGAAGTCTTCCATTTGAAATTAGAAATTCCCACAGACTTTGTTTGCTCTTCAAAAATGTCTACTGGAGGTGGGATGCAGCTGGGGGGAGTCACATTTATGACCTCCATGTTTTTTCTCATCATAGTCCTGTTTAATCCTCATACAAGTACCACACATTAAAAAAAGTCTGTGTGAAGAGTAGTTACTCTGTAACTACAACTAATCACTATTACTGCTGTCTTTCTATCGCTGGCTAACATTTAGGGGTTTGCAAACGCACACTCACTCTTTATTATAGTTTATATTTGAGATGTTACAAGATTGTACATTCAAGCCCTTTCACAACTAATTCATGAGTAGAAATCTTCTCAACTCCGAGCGCACACGACACACAAGCTGTGTAGTAACACCCTCTCGTGTTACCAATCTGATTAATGTGTTTAAATTACGCACAAAGTGATCGAGTCCAGAGTCAGTGACCCATGTGTCCCTCGGCTCTACCTTCCAGTCTCACTCATTTCACCAACCCTTCCTCCATTTAAGGTGTTTCTCCGACTCACTTAAACCCTATCGCCTCCGCACACACATAATGTGTGTGTGTGTGTGTGTGTATGTGTGTGAGACAGACAGCCTCTATCACCGCTTGTCGACTGGCTGAAAGCTGAATAAGATTGAGTAAGCCCTGTGGTTTTGGGGCGTCGCCGCGCTTTAAATTACATATCAAGTTGCCATCTTTGTTGACTCAATCTGTGCCATGTCACTGGAGAGTGTGTGTTGTGTTCTGTGTATTCATGTTGCACAACATACAATCCAGTTAGTCCTCTTTCAGCCTTTGTCTGCTACACTGTTGTCGGGAAAGGACGATCATTACGTGTGCATGCAGGCCCATAAATGTCACATAACTATTAAACACGACTCCGTTTCCCGTCGCATTTCTTCATTTGTAGGTGCGGTAGTGACAAAGGCACACACCTCACTTCTGCACTGGAAACGACCTCTGTGTCTTGTAACTCAGAGTGGGATCATAAAGGTGTGTTGTGACTGATGTCAGAGATGGTCTTTTGGTCAGGTGACATCAGACTGAGACGTCCACACAATGTCCCCTTATGTGCTGCGTGACTGTGGGCAAACACGAGTCATTCCCTAAAATGTGGAGAGGAAACAGAGTGGCCTTTGTTTGCTGGTTTCTTAGAAATCTGTGTAGTCAGTCCACTGTGTCCGTGGACTCCTACGGCATCTGTTGTCTATACTGCGTCTTTGAAAGGGCAAATCTGCATTGAAATCCTATTGGCGGAAAAGTGCTGCTGTAAAGCTCTCTGAGGATTTCAACTTTCAGGCCATACCCAGATCAGTGATGTCATAGCAGGTGTTTTTACCTTTTTTTCCCCCTCAGGTGTCATGGAAAACACCTGTTGTCCCACATTGGGCGTGGGGGGGTATTTCTGCCGACTGCGTCATGATGAAGTCACAACTAAAAGACTAAATCTTTGTTGTGTTTGGAATTGATTTCTGATTATTATGATTTGAAGATAAGCAAACAAAAAAAATATAATGAATTACACTATTACATAAGTTGTTCATTTAAAATGCATTATGAATATTAAGAGTGTGAAAGAGAAGATTTTGGGCTCTTTCCAAATCCTACATTCGAGGGAGTTTCCGTTAACCCTCTTATTAACTATGTTCTTTTCCTTCTGTAACCATCCCAAATTATTTAAACATGGTTTATCAGTACTCAATATATGACTGATGTTTTTGCAGCGAGACACAAAGAATTTACTCCAATTGAATAAAAGAGAGAGTACAAATGGGAAACAGTGAAGCCCACTGCTGCAGTGTGAGGTTTCTCAAGCTCAATACTGATAGGACAGCACCCCCCTCTGGATAAAAGCCAGAATAACAAGTCATGAGACGGAATCTTACTGAGAGCCAGAAAGCTTAACCATTTTTAAAATCGTTTCTCTCTCTTCCAGCCAACAACAAACATGTGAAGTGGCTGCTGGGTCGGGACGGAGACGTGAGCGTCAGTGTGATTGGAGAGATGGACGAGTTCAGGTCCTCCAAACTCCTCCAGAGCCTCATGAACAACAGGTAGGCACACACACAAAGAATCCCACAAAGAATCCTTTAAACTGATTTATTCGTTTGGGGTTTTTTTGTCATCGACCTAAGTGTGATTAGGAAGTACAAAAGCAGGCTCCAGCAACAGTATCTGTTTGCTAGCTGTTTGTTGCAGAATAAACCCAGAGACCTTTGTTCTGCAGCAGTAGGTTGATTTATTAATGAGTGTCAATAATGAGAATCTACTACTTCTGTCAAGCAACAAAATCCAGAATGTGCCAATCAAATGTAAAACTCACGTCTGTTTGTTAGATTTTCTTTATTTTAATTTGAAAGTGAATTAAAAGTTTCATTCATTTTTTTGTCTCGTAGCGTTTCTAAACCTACACATGAGAACATCCACCACAATAAAGCTTTTACTTGCTTGAACAAATGCTCTGATTGACTTTGATAACTAAAGAGTGTCAGTCAGCGAGCCGTCTCCTCGCCCTAATTGGATTATAGAAGTTATTTGCCATATGACTAACTGCGGGGGATTGATTCAAAGGTTAGGACGGCTGTCCGAGGGACTAAAAATGGCCGTCTTTGTCTTTCCAGAGTCCACACTGATAATGTGCACGGCATCCAGACGGTGGACTTGCTGACAGGAAGAGAGGTCGAGCAGCTCGGCTTTAAAGAAGAGCTGTCCCTCACAGACGTCAGCGTGAGTCCATGTGCTTGTGTGGGGGGGTTTTGAAGCCTGGCGGGGGAGACGAGCCGCGTGTCCGAGTCTCACCATCAAATTGTGTCCTCCATATTCAGGATGACCCGGCTTGCCCGCACGACCGGTGGTCTGAGGAGGACTCCTGCAGCGCCGACGACGACCCGAAGGACCCCGCCGAGGACAGCGACGGCGAGTCGGGCGGCAGCTCGGACAACCACGGCGACTGGACTCCTCTCTACAGGCCCCATCTCGGTAGCCGCGGCATCCAGCCGCCGCTCGAGGCCCAGCTGTCAGACACAGAGAGGACGGGCCCCCAGGACAGAGGTAACAACCAGAGAGGAGGGAGGAGAGGTCTAGGATTTACACATTTACTGACTCTAGTCAGGTTTATGTAAAGGTAGAAGTACTACCACGTTGTAAATATACACCATTGCATAAAACCCCAAACATTGTAACAGCTAGAGTACTTACATGTCAATAGAAATGATAAGATAAGCTAAGACAAACTGTAAGCAATGAAAACAACTAATATAATAGCTACTAAATACAATGTACATCAACAATAGTAAAGGTTTCCCTTTTACAGTGTTATAATATACATTTTATTATTGGATTTATTCTTGCTGCCGGTCGAGGTGGAGCTCATTTTATAAACTGATCACATGTTGTGTTTGTTAAGTTACTCGTAAGCTGTCAAATAAATATAGTGGAGTACAATGTTTCCCTCCGAATGTGGTGGAGCATAAAGGAGCAAAAAGTTTAAGAACCTCAGAATTATCCTTAAGTACGATGCCTGAGTAAATGCACTTACTTTCTTACCAACACTGCTTGCATCATAAGTCGTTTGTCAGAAACATCACCTGCTTATCGTTGTGCTCCAATGAAAGCCATGCGTCTCTATTTTGGGTTTATTTTTCAGAGAAAGATTCGATGTTCTCAACAGGTTTTTTCAGATAAATAAAGCCTTTATTAGATTGAAACATCCATTGTCACAGAGCTTAATGAAGGGGTCTGTCACTATTATATTATATTAACGAGACACGCGCTTTCCACAGCTACATAGAACACAGATGATTTGTGTTGGAAGGGCGGAGCTGTCGACAGAAAGGATAGAGTACATTATTACAACATGAGCAGAGGTGAATACATCTTGAAAACTCCCTCTGCCTCCCTCTCCCCTCCTCAGAGAGTTCGCACTACGGAGGCCGCGTGGCGCAGCTCAGGAAGGCGTTCGCAGAGGATCTTCACAGCACACCCGCCTACACCAAACCCCCCGTACCCACCAAACCTGCTCACCTACAGAAAAGCAGCGCACCCTTGATCCACTCGAACTGAAGGTGTGTCCAGCCCGCGACGAGGCCACCCTGTGACACAGAGCCAGAGCTGTACTCTAACAAACCTGTACAGAAAATAATGGCTCAGTTGGACACTGATGGACCAGGATGAGGCCACACAGTGAAAAAGGTCCCTCTTTGACCCCGAGCGGTGACCTGAGATACACTTTGTAAGGCCGCGATGCACGGACCGACCTACAGACTGAGAAACGTCTGGAGGAGGGGGGGGGGAGGGGTGGACAGAGAGAAAGACTTGAAAGCTTTTTCAACCGAAGACAACCTGAATGAGAAAATGAAGCAGCTTTGATGTTGCCGAGTTCAAATGCGCCCACATGGTTTGTGTGATTGACAGGCAGACACAGAGATGTCCGGAGACGCACACACACAGACAGGTGGAAAGAGACTGTGCTGCACTTGATAAATGAGCGTTAATGTTAAGTTCTCCTGCTCAGAAGTCATAAGCAGAGGTTATCGGGAGCGGAAACATGAGTTTGATAAAAAAAATCATATCCTTCTGTGCTGTTCAAAAGCTTTAAACTGTTTTAAATGTGGTCCATGTAACTTAACACCACGGACTGATCCAGTTTATCAATCACAGGGGTGCAGGTTTTTGGGGGGAATAAAAGGACTGAATTCATGGTAAATAATAAAGTCACTGGTTTCCAAAAACAGTTTTCAATCCCTCATGTTCACCTATGACCACACACACACACACACACACACACACACACACACACACACACACACGCGTCTCCTGACAGCTGAACCAGGCCTCCTTCTGGCTACGAGTGCCCCCCATTTGGGGGGCGCTCGGTTTCAGCACCCCTGAAAATATTGTTCGGAAAATAGCCTTATTGTTCGCCAGTATTGTGGATCTGTCCAGTTTTTTTTTTCGGATTAAACAGCAACGTATGGGCAACACTATCATATAAGTCACTTTTTACACACTCCAAACACAACTATAGAACTATATAAAACGTGGCATAAAAGCATGAAATCCTGGGCAGAAATCGGCGTTATGTCTGCCTCAAATCAATATTTTCACCACGAAGCTAGCAGCTAGCCGGCTAATCCGGACATCGTTTAGCATTAGCATCAGGCAGAGAAGACGTACATACCGTCGGTTCTTCTCTCCGTGGACGCACCGCAATGCTGTGACCGTACAACGGTCCAATGCCACTGGTCTTCACCGGAAAAAAATCCATGGTTTTTTGTCAGGTTTTATGAAATATTAGTACAAAAACATCGAAAATGATCCGGTTCAGAGTTACCGGAGCGAAGCGCATCCTGTTTATGCCGAGCTGTTTCCTGTGGAAGGGGGGTCAACCCACCTCGGGCCAGCGGTCAGACTTTCGGGCAATGGAATTTTACGCACGGGGAGACGCGGCACTCTTTGCAACTTTATTGGCTGAAACTTATGCCAATCAACACCAAATTCGATAGAGGCCTTCCCGAGACACTGACGCGTCGAAGGAGGGCTTATTCACTGAAATCGACGGATGATAGGCTGAGATACAGCGCCATACACACACAGGGACTGAGAAAATCCTATGGCTGAGAGCCAGAGAGGGCTCTGATGATGCTAGGAATCTCAAAATGATTCCTAACATCTGTATTTGGATGTATTGAATAATATGAGTGATTAAAAAAAGTGAAATATAGTTATATAGTATATAAAATTAGAATAGAGCATGAGTGAGTACAGAATTTCAAGCCGAATGCTCATTTCTCTGACCTCCTATTATGCTGGCCTGCTTCACTCAATCTAAGTAAAATGAGCTTAGAGAGACCACAACCCTGTTTGCTATGACACAGGAGTATTTGTAGGCTTCACTCTGCAATAATTCCAAAGAAATGTCAACGAAAGTGCTTTTTTTTCAGGCGAACCTGGAACCTTTTCAACTTCAGCTGTGCCATAAGTGTTCATAAGTATTAACCAGTAACATATACACAATATTTACACAATATTTACACATCTCACAAGTGTTACCTGTATAGACCATCAAAATTATTAAAATAGACCTTGTAGTTTGGGTAGTTTACTCAAGAGAGTAGGAGTATGCAATTTTCGAGCAGAGGGCTAAAAATAGGGCTAGTAGTTAAAAGGTTTTAACAGTCTGCTGTCTACATTACGAGTGTCTTTTTTTATGTGAATGAGTGAACAGGATGTGATGGCGTCACGACTACGACTATGATCCACCAAGCTTGTGGGGAATCAGTGTAGTATTTGGACAGTGAATGATGCTTTGGCTACTCCAGCACACTGGATTTAGTAAGAAACAACAACTATGAGGTTAATTAGCTGACTCATGCTTTAAAATGAGGGCTCTTTTTTACTTTCTATCATATTCATAATAGTCCAGACTGAAATATCTCAACTACGATTGGATGAATCCTACTGACTTTGGTGATCCCCTGAGTTGTCCTCTAGCACCAACATGTGGTCCAATATCTTGGTTTATGGCCAAATAACCATTGACATTTCTATCTGTACTTTATGTTCAGGGCTAATGATTAAATATTAGCATTCCAACATGCTGCGCATTGATGGTGAACTTGGTAAAAACGACATTTTTCTCATTGTGAGCATGTTAGCATGCTGACCTTAGTATTTAGCTCAAAGCACGGCTGTAGACTCTCAAAGTGCTGTGATTTTTGTGGACTAAAAGTAATTTGACGGATAATGACGAGCTTTAATGAAGTTATAGAAGTTAATTGACCTTGGAAACAGCAGTTTGAGACAAAATTCTCGTCACAAGGTCCACTCACTTGGCTTATCCAGAGCTATCAGCCGCATCACACAACCGCTATCATGTGACGGAAAATCCATACTGATGTCACACGATAACAACTAAATCATCTCCATGACAACGGAAACAACAGACATCACAATATGTGGCTGATAGCTCTGGAAAACAAGCAAGTTGACGTTTTTTTTTTCGAGCATCGTATTTAATATTTGTTATGCGTTACATTCGGTCCCCGTCTGAAGTTCTGCGACACGCAGACATCAACTGACACTTCTGTTGTGAGCATCTTCACTTCCTGCTTGTTTTTGGGGCCTTTTGGCCTTCAGTCAGGTCTCCAGTTAGTGAAACACATGACCTGTCGGACTGAGTCAGGGGACAGGCTGGTCATGGTCACGTTGCAAACTTGGCTGGGGAAGAAAATTGTACTTTTTGGCCCTTAAAAGCTAACATGTTTTGGATGACTGCCCTGCATTGTCGTACATTTTGGAGGGGCTGCGTCTACGAAGAGCTCCTATGCTGATCAACCAACAAGGATTTAAACACCCTCACACACCACCACAGCTTTTTTGAGTCAGCACTTTAACCTCGTGGTTAACGTCTCATTTCGATTCTAGTGTCTACAGACTGCACTGCAGCACGAAAGGGACATCAGATGAGAGAAAAATAATAAATCCTTCTTGTAAGGACACGTGATACCATGAGAGATTAGCAGTACTTCATCTAAAAGGTTAGGAGTGTTTGAGCTGAAGTTACTCCCTAACTATTGGATCACATATTCCCTTTACTTGGTCACTAAGTTCCTGCTAAAGCCTTGCTCCTGCTGACACTTTCAACTTTTCTAATATACCTTTTATTTGTATTTGTGTTGGGTAATTCCCAAATGACTTTCTATGTATTTTATTGGTGTGAACAACAACACATGAATGCAACTGAAAGACTGATTTAATCTCTTTTTTTCTTCTTCTTTTAATTTAACACAGTTGAGTCTGTTCATATGGTTATAGCGTGCATTCAGCACGGGGGGTTGCTGATAAGGGAGAGACACAGAGGAGCGGCCGATGGCGGTCACTTACACAATGATTATCTATTCAGTGGGATGCGTCAGAAAACAGCCCAGCGCAGATCAAACAGGGAGCACAGAGAGCACAGAGAGCTGATTAGCATGTGGTTTAGAGCGAGACGGAGCGCGAGACGCTCGGGGAGACAGAGCAAATGGGAGTCAGGTCACGGGAAAGCAACACGTCAGAGCCAACTCAATAAAACTTCTCATTCCCTCGCCATCTCCACACCCCGTGTAGCCTCCGTGGACGCGCCTCTGTATGTGGGCGAAGAGCGTACGTGTGTGCGTGCGTGTGTGTGTGTGTGTGTGTCCACCCATATTTCTTGAATCATGTGACTCGACACGAGCAGTCATGCACAGTGTGAAAGGCCCCGCTATATATAGTAGGACAGTGTTGGGTTTCCCAGCGAAGCATTGTAGGAGCCCGGTCATCTTTGTACCAGAAGAAAGTGCGTGCCGTCGACTTGTGGTGTTTCTATTTGCTGAAGGTGTTAAGAGCCTGGAGGTGAATTCAGGACACGAGAGTTGTGTTTGCTCTTTTCTTTTGTTGTGCCTGCATGATAGTAAACTTCAAAGATCACAATAAGGATTCGATGCCGTGTGAGACCAATAAAGCGCATCTTATCTCATTTTTCTGAATGAAGTCATTGTGAAGAGGAATAGTGAGTCAGGAGATCAGTTAGTTAACAGCTCATAGCTACAAAATGAATAACAACACCTCAGTGGTGATGTCATTAGATTTGGCACTAAAGTTGCAACGGTCCTCTTTATTTATTCTTAACCTCGATGTTGGCGAATTGATGTGTGCTTCATGCTGAAACAAGGTGAACAGTTTACTGTTTAATTGTTGATGCAATAATTAAATTCAGTGTACAGCACTTCCCCCTCGAATTAAGTGAATGTTCAGCTGAACATTAGTAACAATAATACCTTATGATAATGAGCACTGACTAATACAACTTGAATGATAAACCCTTTCATATTTCCAAACATTAAAGACTCTTACATATCTAAACATTTAGCACATAACAACTAGCATCAGCTCCCAGTTTGATTTCACAAAAAAGTAATTAAATAAATTATAAAAATACATTATGTTTGTTCTTTACACAAAGTAAAAGAAAAACATGACCAGCGCTATTCTTAACCAATGACCTTACAAACACCTAAAGGGATTTGGCATAAAGTAGGTGCTTGTGAAAAACAGATTACGTAGGAAAAGAAAAATAAATGGTCAAAATCAAACTAGTAACTAGTATGGGTCAAGCTACAAAATCACTGATTCCTACATTTCCCAGAATGCAATACGTAGACGTGCCCTCCTCCTTTAAATCCCATGCCCTCAGGCCGGACTCAACTCCCCCAGAGACACATGAGAAGAAATGCAAATGTTTCCTGGCTTTGGTGCGTAACATTAGTGGAGTTCCCTTTTAAACAAATTTAACTAAACCATTTCAATAGTCACAAAATAACAGATAGACACTTTTTACAGTTTAAAATAACTGTCTAAATGTGTTCATTCTTGCAGCTACAGACCAGTTTAAGTCAGTTAAGACATTTTTAGCCACTGCAAAACAAATGACAGTCCCATGAGCCTCAGCTGATGCTAATGTTAGCATGATGCTAATGTTAGCACGCTAACACGCTAAACCACGGGTGAACATGGTAAATAATATCCGCTTAGCGTCAGTACATTAGCATTGTGACTGTGAGCATTTTAGCATGCTGACGTTAGCATTTAGCTAAAATTACCACTGGGACAGCTAGCAATGCTAGCATGTTTACTTTCAACAACACAGTTATACATTGAGGTGGGATTGGGCAGATCCCATTTGGAGACCTTTACAATCTGTAGCTGTACTGGGATCAGAGGAGATTACATATGAAAAATATAGAGGTTAGATCGTTGTCACTACTTTTTCTTTCAATACTTTTTCTTTCCGGGTATCCTATCTATCTATGATATAGATCTTGCGAAAATGCCATGTCAATGCTTTTCTCAATAGTCTGCATTATTTAAGATTATGAGGCAAATCAATACTGGCTGACATTTTTG